TTGTCATATTTTTGCTGCTACCAACCGACAAACGCTTGAACAAGGAATGCAAATCAACATGGACATGCTGTGTGCTTAGGCGAAACAACAAAGTGGTGTCGTGCTGACACTCGCATGCGCAGGCTTTTTGTCACGCTTAGCGGATCTTGCAGCCCTAATCCGTCCTGAGTATTAGGATCCAACAGCGAGTTTGTTGGGACAGTCACTCATAATCTTGAAATGGCATCTACACCTAAAACCTGCACGTACCAGCATTTTTGCACAAGCGGTTTTTGACCGCTTGTGCTGAATAGTAGGATGCACAATATCGTAAGGTGCAATCGAGTCAGAAGACCAAGGATCTCGCGATGGAGATCGGTGTGCGTCCTCAGCCATGTGTGACGTTGCCGTAGGTGACGCTGATGATGTTGAATGCGAAGAGCGTGTCCTCTTTCGTCTTGTAGTATGTGGATGTTGGCGTCGTTGCTGTGTTGTGGATTGGGATGCTGGTGAGATGTTGCGTGTTTTCTTTGTTTTCATGACTGTTTTGTCCTTTTTGTCTTTGTTGTCATTCTTCTTTTTTGTCTTCGTTGTGTGCTTTGTTTTTTGCTTGTGTGTGTGACTGACTGCATGGGAGGATGTGGTGGTGTCATCCTTCCTCAGGAAGGCATCAATCTCTTCGGATCCCCATAGGCTGCTGTCGTCGTCCTCGTCCATCTGTGTGCGATCCTAAATATGTTTCAACAACTGTAGTTCGGAGAAATGGCTGCGGAGTCACAACTGCATTGAAGCATGTGCATACGCTGATCTTCAGAAGAGAGAGAGAGATGTACACAGAGACATCAATTGAGCAACCTCGCCGACCGGCATGACCTTTCAACATGATGCTCTTAATGTTGAACCTCATCAGGGATGATGGAGTTCGCAGCACAGCTTTGCTGTGTGGTTGTTGGCTGCCGGGGCAGCAAATGTGCATCTAATTGTCAACTCAGCAATGTTGCTCACGGAGTTCTTGACCGCTTTATCTTGTTGGATGTAGGAGTTGATGTAGTAGATACTGTCTCCTTTTGGGTCGGAGGCGTTGATGTCGGACGCTGATCAGGTTGCTCCGCATGCTTTCGTATCCACTCTTGAGATGCGATAAAGTACTCGCGCCACCATGAAGAGCCGTTAGTGGCCCAATGCCATCTCCATTGTGATGCCGTGGGAGATCGCGATCTGGTGCGTTGTTCCATGGTGCTAACACAACTGGTTGTTTTGCAAAATGCTGCGGGAAAGGGTGCATCAATCGCTGCATGCCAAACATATGTGAAGTGAGTGCACTGACTGTCACAGTTGGCAACAACGACTATCGTTGTTTTTACCGTCCTCTGCAAAGCACCCGATGGTGGTATGAACATGGTTGATCACCTATTGTTGCGAAGCTTCGAGTCTTTCCACTCGTTGCTTTAGCTCTGTGATCCGCCGGGTTGTTTGCAGAATAAACTCAGCTAATTGGTCGCGTAGAGCCTCGTCACTGAATGTGGAAGGTTCACTTCCAGTTTCGGAATCATAGTCCCGATGCTGTGTCAAAATCTCCATGAGGGCCGCGGAGAGAGCTTCACGTCGTGACTCATCGACGGGTGGCGAATCTGTAGTCACTGCGTTTGTCGGAAGAGATGCTTCGCTCATGGCTCGATGTCGGGATTCCGATAGGTGTCACTCTGAGGCAAAAACTTCAGAAGGCAAAGTTATGGTGTGTGTCTGAAAGCAACATGTGTTGAAATGCGAGAAGTGTGCACTACCTGGCTCTTTTTATACCAGCGTACCTTAGCAGCATATTCACGACCAATCAGGCGCGTTTTGCCTGATGAGGCTGTCGAGTACGTCGAGCTGCTGTTTGCACGAGGCGAGGATCGCCGTGGTAGCCTCGTGTTGAGTGGTCAACACCGTTGTAGCCTGTTGTATCAGGCGCTCTAGTTTGGCATTCGATTCAAGCAACGAATTGTGAAACTGCGTTATTGCTGCCATAATCTCAGTCGATGAATCCGGATCAGGGTGATGCGGAGGTGGAAATGGCGGGGTCGCCGGTGCAGCCACTGCTGCATCCTGCTGTTCTTCCGGATCTTGGTGTTGCTCTTGGTAATCTTGGAAATCTTCGTCTTCTGCAACACGTAGGAACTGAGAGCGCAAAAGCGCCGGCTGTGGATTGTGGCTGCCAACCGCAGGTTGCTCGTTGCGGCGTCTGCTATGCTTGGAGATGGATGGCCGAGGACGGCCGCTCAGCGCTTTGTGGCTCGGCTGCAATCTGCCAGTCATGGCACTTTTATACATGATGATGCCTCAGTTAACCCTGTAAATGGCTGCGGGAAGCACTGTGTTGATACAAGGCGGCTCTCATGTTGCAAAGTTGCATGGCTCTGGACACACGCACGGCAACTTGGCACAGTGTTTTGCTTACAGCTGTTGATCAGTATAGCCGG